CTTATTTTTTACTCCCTTACTTATTTTTACTAATTATTACATATTGTTGAGATTACATAGCGATTATTAATTATTACGTATATATATATGTAATTAATAACGATGTATATAATAAATAAAGATTAATAATCGTCAAAATACATTCTATAATTTTTTATACTTTTGCAATGTCAAATTGGCCTCCACCAAATCCAGAAATATAACATTTGCTACACAAGCTTTCAAGTAGATCTGTTGATCAACCACCAGGTCCTCTTTGGCAAGCTTTTAATCCAATTAAGACTAATGATAAAAAACCCAAAGCTCATTGTATATTCTGTAACTTAAATAAACCTATATCTGGTACTGCGGCTGTGATGATTTCATATATCAAAAAATATGAGAAGATTCATTCAGATATTTGAACTTATCTTATGAATGCTTACAACTGTCAACAAAAGTTGGTTTCAAATTTAATTACTGAACATAATCAGCAGCAAGATAATTCTTATTCCTCAGATAGATCGATTATATTTTTTATATCAGTTTCAAATTATGATTCTATTTCAGTTTTGTCTGATAATAATACAAGTGAAAATAATGATTTTTTTTATAAATACAAGTCAGATCTCTACGCAATTACCAATAGATGCAAATAGATCTAATCAACTATTATTAGAAGGTATTGTAGAAGATGATGCACCTCTTTCACTTGTAGGTGCACAAAAATTTAGAGAATTTATTTATTCTATAAATAACTGATATCATGTTCACATCAAAAAACAACTTTTTAATAATATTCTCAATGTTTATAAAGATGTTCAAGCTTCAGTTCAGCAATTTATTTTAAGTCTAATTGAATCACTATTGCAACTATCACTATTATTGTAAAATAATAGAAATCTTGAAAAATTACAAAAAAATCAAACTAATCTAAATTTGATTGTAAAATATAAAAGTTATTGACTCTTGTTTTAATACATTGTCTATATAATCTTAAGAAAGAGTTATATAGGCAATAATCACAAAAAAATATTAAAATGAAAAGTATAAATAAATAAACAAAAACAATAAAAAAAGAAAGAAAAATGAAAATAAATAAAATAAAAAAGGTGTTAGAATAAA